GATTGGTTGAAAAGTTTCTGCGCTCAAAATGAAAAAATATTGTTTAGGGTACGAAATATATTTTTTTTATTCAATATAATCTCCCTTAACTTCAATACACTTATTCCAATGACCCTCCAATAATTTTATGACGTAGTACAATCACGTTTATGTTCATGAATTTTCTTTGCTGCCTCTCAAAGCAAAGAATCTTATCACTGCGCGATGTTACACTTTTTCAATATTAGAAAAAATTCTCTGGCACGTCAACTTCAAATGACTTTTAAACAAAGAATTATTTGACAGAATGACTTGCAGCTTTGCATGTGTTCTCACGACAGATGTACCAACTTGAGAAATCTGTAGGTAGTAGTGCTGTTTCTAGGTGAAACCAACCCAGCGGTGAAGGGTATCATAACGGTAACGTTTTTTATTGCTTTTAACTAATTACATATATTTTTTCAATTACATATTTTCTTTCTATTTTAATTAAATAAAAGCATCCGAAGCTAGGAATGATATGTGAAACAGACTTGCCTACAAATATCTTTTACAAATTATGGGCCTAAACGGAAGGTCCAATATTGATGTTTCTTCCTTCTATTCACCATTCGTGCTACCAGCACATCTCGTGGAGTGAGTTGTACTGCTTACTCGTATTTCTGTTAACGATATGCTTCATTATTTTGAAACCACAATTCTAGCAACTAATTAAGAGAGCCAAAAATACAGTTCAGTTTATATAACAAAGTAGTTCAGTATATACAAAGCATATGTACATGTCTACAAACAAATAGAATCTAAATGCAATGCAGAGTAATCTCCCAGCGGCGTTGGCGTTATAAAGTCATAAATTGACGCATTTGAAATAGATTTTTGTTTTAGTAAATAACTTGAATGCTCACATAACGGCGTAAAATTGCGCCATCTAAGAAAATTAGCATTTTTAAATGCACTAAAGCAATTATACATGTTTTAATGAGGCATTTTCTCTTAGAGAATTCAATACTCAACACAGCGCAATATAGCCGGTATGCATGTAAGTGTGTATTCGTCAGTTGGCACTAATTATGGCGCCCATTTCGTGCAGTCGTTTACTCAAATTTCAATTTTCTTTTAATATACTTTCTATGAAGTAATTACATTTCCTTTACCCAAAATGACTGAGTAATCGACTGTTGCCAAACATTCGGCTTCATTTAATACGCCAAAAGTGTAACGGAAAGTTGCAGTTTTTGTTTAATTCTTCTTGGTAAACTTTTGCGGCTATATACTTACAGCTTTTTAATGAACAGAAGTTTGATTTTTTTTTTTTTTTTTTTTTTTGATTTCTTTAGAAAGACAGGTATGAGATGTGTGTATACAAACTTTAGTGCCCTAATGTATGAATAGCTCAACGAGGCCGCTGTAGCGTATGATGTACATTTTCGTGGATATTGTTAAAGATTGTCAAAGGAATCACAAATACTTAAAATATGACTTCGTTGTTTAAACAACCATCTGGAATTTTATATACATAAAACTTTCATTAGACACTGTAATAATCATTGATATTCGTGTTAGTGTAAACTTGACGCTCCCTTTAGTTATTAGTTAGCTGTCCGCAGCATGTGTTTCCAATTTTTCTAATTGATTAATTGGCTCCTTAAGTGTAATTTTAATTAATTAACTTGATGAGCAGTGCAGCTGAGGCAAATTGTTTAATGTGCTTTTACTAATAAAAGCCTAAGAAAAAATAAATAAATTGGGCCTTGAATTGTGAGTGAAAATCTCTGAGATGTGCCACTTTTAGCAAAATACAATTGATATTGCTATAACCCCAATTTAACTCTCACATACAGTATAGCTTGATATTAGTTTTCTTTATTTGCTAATTTCTATTTGCAGCAGTATATCAATTCTCGAAAACATATTTTAATTATTTTGGAAATGGAAGAACACACCAACGATATCCCTTCTACAAATGGAGTGATGATTCCTCATGTATTAAAAAATGAAAAAGCAATGTTCACGTTCTTACAGCCCGGAGAACTTTTTCCCCACATAGCATTGCCCTTAACTGTTATATTCATTGATATCTTTCATTGTTATTCTTGCAACCATTATTACTCGAAACAATTTGAAATTGATTTACATTGCCACACCCCTTTTCACATGCATCAGCACACGCATACTATGTTACACACAATATTTCTTACACACAATATCTTCTTAAATTCGCGCCGCCACATCGATTCAATTAAGGCAAATTCAAATTTTGATTGACACTTTTGTGTATTCTGCGAAGTGCGACAAAATCGTGACCGTTCGCCACACTCCACACACGTGCCCATGAGAGCCACGTATTTTGACAAGCTCGTCAAACCACAAGCACAACAACAACACACTGATCCAACAATATGCTTATCAACAACTACAGTCATACCATATACATATATTTATGTGTGTGGAAAGCATGAAATGAGCAAAATTGGCATTTCTAAACGTGTTACAACATTAACGGAAGTGGATTTACGCAAGTGCAATATAAATAGTTCATATAGGTTTGTATTGAGTAGGTTTTTTCAGAAAACTTAAAGATTTTAAAATTTAATAAAATGTAGTAAAGTATAGAATTGTGGTCGATTTATTATGATTTTTCACTAAGCCATTTTTATTTGGATTACAGTTATTTTCCAAGAGGATTTTGTTACTCTGTATTGGTTTGTTCTAAGCAGTTCCAAATCCTTACCTGAAATTTAAGAAAACAAAAAACAAACCTTAACTTTAGTTGCACCGAAGCTCTATAATAGCGTGCAGTTTGTACGCCAGCAACCATAGCAATCCGATCTAAGCAATTTCTTCGGAAATTGCACTAAAGCGTTAGATAATAATCCATGCGAAATTTCTTGAAGATACCTCGTTAAATAAAAAAGCTTACCATACAAGCACTTTATTCCGATCGTTCAGTTTGTATGACAGCTATATGCTATAGTTGTCCGATATCGGCGATTGCGATGAATGAGCAGCTTTTTGGCGTTTCTTTTTAATTTTTTTATTCCTCTGTCCGTCCTTGCAAAGTAGGTTGGTATTGCAAATGGGCGGAATCGGTTCATTGCCACGCCCACAAAATGCCGTTAAGCCAAAACATATAAAGAGCCATATATTAAGATACTAAACTGAATTTTTGGTACAGGGAATCATGGTGGTAATGGACACCTGTGGGGTAGAAATAATTTTTTTAAGTGGGAGTGGCTCCGCCGAGTATATTGTTTAATGTGTGTATATTCCAAACCGCTAAAGCTATGTTAACCAAACTTTCTGCGAAGAAGCCCTTTTAGCTACACTGCGAAAATGGGTAAATTCAATAATAACCACGCCCACTCCTCACATAACGGTTATATTGAAAACTTTAAAAAATTCAATAATTCACTGAAACATTACATTTCACAACCAAGATTTTAGAGAAGGGCTTTATAGAAGCAGACAATATGCGGGGCTCAACCAATCATTCCTATCATACACGGTGAAAATGGGCGAAATCCGATGACAAGCATGCATGACATGCATAATTTCCATACAACAAATTTTTAAATTAGATCTAAATATTTCACTTCGCAGTATACAAAACAAACATCAATGAAGTTATCAGAAACAAACTTTCCACAAATAGTGCCCAAGTATTTCATCTTACGCTCAAAAATTATCGAAATCTGACTATATGTGAACCCAAGTGCAAGGCAGTTTTTTTTACTGAACATATCATTCTGTGAGGTCCAGTAATGAAATTTGTAGTAAATATATTTGTAATGACATCATGCTCTTATGCCGAAAATCGTATAAAATCGGGTCGCTCCCGGATACTACTGGGGGCGTATACGTAATATCGGTCGATTTGTAAGAAATCTTAATGAAATTCCGAAATAATCTCTTTCTAATATTAGTGTATCATCTTGCCTGTGATTGTAAACAATTGATGCAAAATTTCCTACTTTTAATTAAAATATATACGAAAGTCAGCTACATCACTTTTCCTTGCGAGAGTATAAAATGTTCGTTTATACCCGAACTTAGCCTTTCCTCGCTTGTTTTGTTTACTAAGTATTGGATCCGCGTTGTTGTGGCCATGTTATACATTAACTACTATTATAAAAAATATTCAATGAAAATATTTTTTTACAAATAAAGACAAAAACGTTATTGCTGGTATAAAATTCCAAAGGATTGTTCTTAAGATTTAATTTTGATTGATACAAATATTTGTCAATGTTGGAGTTTTCAAAATCTAACCCGACAATTGATATTTTTGGCTTTGAAACTTATTTATGGACAGTTAAAGTAATGCCATCTGAAAACTGGTCCAACGTTTTTACCAATAGCCCCACTGAAAAGCTTATCGTTGCTTTTTAAATCTTGCATCGAGTGCTTGTTTTATTTTTTCGCAGCATTTTGCAATTTAATAAAATTGTAATAATAAAACTATGTTTTTTTTTTTAATTTTTAACACGTGCTTTTAAAGTGAGATTTTATTTTTCTTATTTAAGAATTCTTTTGACTTAAAGCATAAACTATCCTATGTTTTAAAGCGGCTCAAGTGCTTAATTTTTACAAAATCGGTTCAGTAGCTTAGGAGTTTATCCCGGTCAAACAACGTAACACGTAATTTTTATATGCATATATAGAATAAATGAACTGCCTCTTAAAAAAAATTCACAACCATCGCATTTTTTACTTGCAATTGGATATAGTCCCTTATATGAACAGAGATTTGAGTTACTGACTCCCATTGATTGCCATCTATATTCAAGTGGGAGTGCTTCGTGAATAAAGAGTTTTACATAATGCGATAACCGGAGCTTTAATTCACGTACTTGGTGACTTCTACATTTCCATTATCAGAATTATCTTAAACATCAGCAATTAAAGTCCAGTTTGAATGCCTCTTCTGCGAGGACTCCATACTTACAGGCATTAGCTTACAATATTATATAATATTTGTTGTATATATTACATACACTTTAAGTACCCTAATCCAAACATATATACTCACGAAATATTACAGCAAACCCACAATTTGAAACATGTTTTATTTTATTTTTAGATTTTCTTTTATTTTATATTCTATTTCACATCAAAATTACAATTATTCATAGAAATATATTTATTTAACAGAGGTCTTGGCTAATCGCGCTTTCAAAACTTGTTTAATAGTTATCATTATGTGTTATTTGGAGAGATATCGTTGCGCTTTACATTCTTAGAACATCAACATGGACAATAGTTTAGCCTACACACACAATGACACATCTAAATAACAGCTACTTGAGTGGGTCCTCACACAACAGTTTCACTTTGCACGCTAAATAAATTGACAATTACGGAGTACATACATATAAGCTCTTTGATTCCATGTAGTTGCGCTGACCTATTAAAAATACCTTTGCCAGCTTATAGACAACCATAACCGTAAACACATACAGACATGCGTATATACGCAGTGATAGTCAACAAGCGCCCCCTGCAGCGAGGTCGTGGTAAATGCACACGAGCTGTGACCAATTATTGGTCTACACAAAAGACACATTCTTGCAACATACTCAACTACACAACTACATACATGACTACACACACATGTATACGCATATATGTATTGCGGGCTAAAAAGCTGCTTGCCGTTGATTTATTTACGCTCGTCGCCGACCGACGCTTGCTCTTGTCAGCAGCACAGCAGGTAGCCAGACCAGCAGCAGCTGGGTCCAGCCGAACAGAGTGTTGGTGCCGCCACCGTAGAGAGATCTCGGGTGGCCCACACTGCAGAGCACATTCTCGTATTGGCGACAGTTGGTGAAGTGTTTCTCGTCCGAGAGCATTTTGGCTGTGTCACGTGCAAATTTAGCCGAATTCTTGTAGCATTTGTAGCGTGCGCTATTGTAGATGCAATTTTCGTAAGCGTATCGTGCACTGCAAGAGATAAAGGTTACAGGAGGATTAAAGGTTTTGGACTTTCGCTTCAAATAACAACTCTCAATTAAGCAAGCAGACGTTGTTTGCTGCGACAATAATGGTCTCGTGATTTCCAATTAAGACTACTAATAAAGTAAACATTTTTCGATTTATCTAGAAGCTATATATGTGTGCCTAAAAATTGTATTCATGATTTAATACTGTGTTGTATAGTCCATACTGTGACAGCAAAGACTATAAACTACTAACAAAGTTGCGAAGAAACTGAAAACCTTGAAAATTCCTATTGGTATTAATTAATACTGCAATAAAGACCAGTATGACTTCTAACCCCAGCTAACCCCAACAATTCTGCTACACTACATATATTAAAGCCGCATTTAATGTCAAATTCCGTGCAATTTTTTTCATATTTCGATAGGTCATAGCTTTTAAAGTAACGTATTAAAATTTTAAATCGATATATCAACAAGTTTTGAGTTACAGCCCCTTAAGGAAACGGCAGTAATATAATCAGCTATATCAGTTTATTTGTAAACGCGTTTTTCCTCCCAAACTATATTTTTTAAATTTGCTTGAGTGATTACTCGGAGACAAATAATTCGATCACTATCAATCTTTTTTGCATGTTCTAGATATAGTTCCCTCTACAATGACCGACTAATTTTTTGATCTAAACAAACATCGAATTTTGGTAGGCTAAAAATTACCTAAATTTTGGTAAAATCCAACCTTGTTTTTTTAAGTTGCCACCATTGTGTCAATTTTTGATTTTTTTCTATCGTAGCACATTGTACTATAATATCTTCTAGTAGATATTTTTTTAAGATATTTCCACGGAGATTTTTCTACGGAGAAAGCCGCAATCACTGCAGTAGTGAAACATTTATATATATTTATTGCGCTGCCGGATATTGCTTGCATTAAAACAATATATACGAGTACATTATTGTTTTTTTAATTCACAAGCATCGCCTTGTGAATGTGCTGTCACACTAGGTGTGCCTCTTAATGTTAAATACCACATAAAAGTAGCTACAATACATTGTTACCTACCAGCAAAATTCCATAAATTTATTGGTAACATTCGTTTGTTCGCCATGCAGCTCCTCGGTGAGTATTTCCTGAAAATTGCGTGTACAACGCATCCAGTCGTCCTGAATATAGCCGAAGCAGTCCTTGTGCTGTAAATAATCTGCAAATGTGTATGGAATCCCATTAATGTACTTGAATGTCTCAACTCAGAACAAAATTAACTAAATAAACATAAGCAACAAAAGTTCAGAGAAATGCCGCACGACACGCGTTCAGGCTACATGCATGTTAACACATTAGGGTGGGTGTCATGTTTGGAAAAGTGCTGCAAGAATTTGTTGTTGTGTCAGCGTTGAGCCACGGCAGTTCGGCGTGATGCTTGAAACACACATTTTAACTCCGATATTTTGGTGTTTTAATTTTCAAACATATTTATACTACATGAAGCATTGTAGCACTCAAACACCACATGACTACTCTAACATGCTTAAACCAACATTTAGAACCGCTATAAACTGTTCATGCGTATTTTTAACTTTGAAGAAAGTTTTGCGTTATAAAGTAAAAAGTGTCACTTTCACTTTTGAACTGTAAACATATTACGATATATCAGGCGTGAGCACATGGCGTATAAGTAACTTTCAGCACATGTGCGTATGAGTAACTTGTTTGCACTTTGTGTCATGGAATTTCGCAGTTTATCAAAGTTGAAAGGCAAACTATGTTCATGACATTACGGCAAATTTATTTGCACTCTATTATATTTTTAAGGTGTTTGATTACGGTAATCAATTTTAAGTTTTTTTAACAGAGAGTTCAAAGAGAATAATAAACTAATGGAAAATAAAGCACATTTAATAAAGAAATTTTGGGCAGAGTGAGTAAAAACTATAATTAGCTGAAAATTGTGTTAATCAATTCATTTTCTACCAAATTCAAAATATTGCTAAAATAATTTTTATGTTAGGTCTACTTTAAGCTAGTTAGACTGTAGCAGATATTCCATGGTAAAACGAATTATCAAGCCAAAACATATTTATATTGTTATAGCTTTCATTTTTGAGAAATGTGAATATAGTTTTAAAACATGTAAACTCACCCTTTTGAAATTCTCGGTCACTGCAGAAGCGATTGAAAAATCTTCGTGCTCCTTCCACATTATTTTTGAAGAGATTTAGTGTTTTGTTGGTGAGACAACGAGTCGTATAGTCGTCGAAGCAGCGCATGCCTTTATTGAAAACACTGCAAATAATCAAAAAAAAATATCGTTACTGCTAAATTATATACACCACAGCATAGAATAAAATTATCTGTCTAATGCGATGTTATGAACTCATGTGTATATATATTTTTTCTATAAAGCTTTCATATCGCCCTGAATAACAATAGATTTCTTAACTTCATGTCGCCTTTCAGCTTGTTCTAAATCTTTTAGCCACATATACAAAAATATTGAAATGAGTTCCTTGAAAAAAATAATCCAGCAAATAGTACCGTAAGCCACACAAATTACAATTTATTTTTAAATTTGCCAATCACTTTTTGGTTTACTCAGCTTTAACTAATAAACATATTTATCATATATTTTATTAAAAGAAAATGTTCGATTTCAAGTGTTGTTTAACTTGCAACGTGCCTACAAAACCCTAAAATTCTGCAAATGCGTGTGTGTGTGTGAACACACGTGCATGCGTGCAACAAAAATACAAAAATTAATTGTAATAAAATTAAAATTATTAAATATAAATGCAATTTGAGTAAAAATGATTTATTTGAAGCAATTTATATAAGACTGAGTAATTGTGAGTACAAAGTCAGCAAAATATTTTCTGAAAACTTTATGTGTTTTATGGTAGCACAAAAAGAAATCAAAGCGAACCGAAGTTCCCTCTACAAACATTCATACACACATACGCACACAAACACCTTTAATATGATGACCTCTTGCGATGACAAAAATAATGGACACTAGTAAACAAAAATGCAAATACGAGGTGTGTTTTAAGGAAAAGGTAACTTTTGATTTTTCGCGTGTTGTGTACATTCGATTATCGATATTTTATTGTTGTTATAATCGGACACATATGTCTATTATGTGCTTGCATTAGAAGTCAATTTCGATTAGTAGCTTGTTTTTGACAACAACAAAAATTAGTCACGTTTTTGTGTGCTCTTCGATTTTTGACTTTTCAAAGAAATGGATCAAAGTATATTTATTAAATATTGCTTTAAAAATGAAATAAAGTGCTCCAATACACTTGAAATGTTGACTGTGGCATACAGTGAGTCCACTTTGTCTCAAAAAAGTGTTTATAAGTGGCACAAGCGTTTTACAGAAGGTCGAGAAGATGTTGATGACGATGTGCATCCTTAAGGTGCGGCCACGTCAACAAGCGAAGAAAACATCAAAAGAGTGAAAAAAAACAAGTTTTGAGGGAAATTTAAGAACTTTCACGTCGATTAGTGTTATTTAGTGAAAAAGGAAAATTTTCTCGCACCGGTTCGTGAAATTATTGGTATCGATGCATAATTTACTACTAGAATGTTGTATGAGCGGTTAAATACGAGTAAAAACGTTATTTGGAGAATTTTAACTGAAAATTTGATTAAAAATAAACTCTAGAGTTAGTTTTCACTTAAATTATTGCCTAAAACAAATGTTCTTTACAGAATATGTAATTACTAATAAATGAGTACAACAATTTTACTCTTACACATACACACACTTATTGTGTGGGTATTTGTATATCAAGAAGAGACAGGGATCGATGTAAACATAACTTAACGGTTGCTTAGTCGAGTTCTTCTCTAATTTTGGTTTGCGTTCTTTCGCTACTCTAATTACTCTTTACTACATTACAGGCTTATGTTAGAACTTATAGAAGACGCAATAACGGCATTGCGTATTATCAGAGGCAAATGAAGTTCGAAAATAAAAAACGTACCCTTTCTCTTAAAAGCACTATTTTCAAATACCCAATAAATGGTTTGAAAGCATTTTTATACCCTGAACAGGGTATATTAAGTTTACCAAGAAGTTTGTAACATCCAGAAGGATTATCAGCAAGACGAGCTCAGTCGAGTTAGCCATATTCGTCTGTCTGTCTGGGTATATGGTATAAGCCAACTAGTACCATAGTTTTTAAGATATCGATCTGAAATTTTGCACGCGTTCTTTTCTCCCAAATAAGCAGCTCATTTTTCGAAATCGCCTGTATATCGGAGCACTATAGCATATAGCTGTCATACAGATTGAACGATCGGAATCAAGTGCTTGTATAGAAAACCTTTTCATTTGGCAAAATATCTTGACGAAATTTAAAATGGATTATTTTCTGAAGCAATGGTTTACTCTTTGAAAAAATTATTCAGATCGGGCTACTATTGCGTATAGCTGCCATACAAACTGAACGATCGAACTTTTCCAATTGGGGAGATATCTTCACCAAATTTGACATGGGTAGCAAATAAGGCATCGAAAATATAATTGAACTAACAAAAATTAAATTAAGATTTTTTTATTATATAATAATAAAAAAAATATTAAAAAAAACTTAATCCTAAATACAGGATTAAAAAATAATAAAAAATCAATGCCATAAACCGGATTAAAAAAAACTTAATCCAAAGCATATAGAATAATATATTTATATGTATTTAATAATTAAAACAAAAAAATGTTCATATATGCGTGCTTCGTGTTCTACTATTTTAAGCTAGAGCTCGCAAAGAGCCATCCTTTTCAATACTCTAAAGCAAGCTTACATATTCAAATTAAAAGACAAAAGTTTAATTATAAATTTTTAATCCCAATATCTTTGAATAAAAATTAAATTAAACATTTTTTATTAAAAAATTCCAAAGCTCTCCCAACTTATCCAACTTTTATGCCACGAACCTATTAAGGCTAATTTTGCAGTAATTGCAACCAAATGCTATCCTTCCCATCTATGGTAACTGCAAAGTGTGTTTACTTTGCTGTTGTCAAAATATTAAGCTTTAATTTTCAATTATATAATCTCATACCCACTTATACCACATTTCACTTTACGCATTAAGGACATGTTTCCAATCACTTTCGAACGCTGCCATCAAAGGCCGCAAAATGTCATTACCCACCGGCCAGACTGCGTTGGCACAAAATTTCGAATAATTGATTTGGTGTGAAAACCGCAAAAGCGTTCAAAAGTGGCGCACAAACCAAAAATAAACAAACACCGACGACACTTAACCTCACATACATCAGTACAAAGGCAATTGTGTGTAAATAACTTTGGTAAGAATATTGCTAAGAACTCCCACTGGTTCACTTACGTGCACTTGGATGCGATTTCGCGTTCGTTGTTAGCAATCTTTGTGGTCTGCAGAAATTCCATTAAATGTGGCGGCAGATCCTTAAAGCACTCATCGACCATGCGTTGAGTGTCGCCGCATTTACTCTCGTCGCCGGTTGCGGTGTCGCTGCTCTTGAGGGAAGCCGCCAGACGCGATTCGGTGTCATTCTGCGAATTCACCGATGAAACCAGGGGAATCAACAGTAGCAATAATGCGAACATTTTGTACTCGCGACGCGCCAAGATTTTGTAATCAGCGAGCCCCTCAAGTCAACGGACTTAAAATACCGTTAATATATATTTATTTAATTGTTGTTTACTAAGATGATTTATAACTATATGTGCAGATATGTTTGTAGATTTTTAATTTTATTGAATTTCGGTTCTTAAATTTTCAAGTGTATTTTTTTCACTCTTTTACATATGTTTATTTGGCGCTTAACGCTTTCTTTACACTGTGAGCTTTCACCACTTTTGTATAGTCGCAGTCACGAATTCGAACCGTTACTGTTGCTTTATCAAAACTGCTCGGCCTTTTATATGGCATCGTGTTAACAGCGTGTTTACAGTTACGATATCATCAGCAGTTGTTTTTCGACGAAAAAGCTCCAAATGCCGGTTGAGCTTACGCGCCGACGCAGTACCACCACATGCACGTGCCTTTATTATCCTCATTATGTACCACCTGTTATCTTTAACAATATGGAGATACGGTTATTGTGTTGTTTGGCGCGTGATTTGCTATCGCAAGCGAACGCAAAGCGGCAGTGGATAAAAACTCGTTGTAAGAGATTCGCAGTGAAAGTACGAATTGTTGAATTCACTATGCTTCCCACAACAAGGTCAATTATATTATTTTGCGTAACGCTTTAAAGAAGAAAGTTATTTTTAAGAACAATTACAAGACTTTTGCAGTAAAAGCAGAGAACAAAGTATATATCCCATAGTAATAGAAAGTTTCTTTTCACTATTGTTTGCATTATTTCAAACTATTTTCCACGTCGTCGGTAAAATTATATCAGCTAGCAGTTGAATTGACCGCAATCCTACACAGATTTAAAAGGACATATCGGGTATACGATGAAACTCAAAGAATTTGAAGTTTGGATTTTGTATGAAGAAATGATATGATTCGTTATCCATAAACACAAATATTGTATTTATTCCATACTCTTTCAGCGAACTATTGGAAATCTTTAGATTCCAAGGTCTCTTACTTTTTATAAAAATTAAAAATGGAAATGTAAAAAAGTGTCCAGAGTGATACCCCCTCGTAAATATATTTTGTATAAAAAAGGTTCCATTTACAACACTATTCAGCAGTAGTGTGAGATATCAAAACCCTTCATTTTATATATGGAAGTTATTTATTTATCAACATTTGAAAGCAACCAAAATCAACCCACTTTCTCACCTCAGGTTTAAGAAATATTTTTTGTTTCTATATATAACAAGATAGTATTAATATTGAAAAATTAATAAATTTGGTTAAATAATACTCGATAGATGGCGCTGAAGCCAAAATATTTGTACAATTTGGTAATATATTTTAAACATAATTCAAATTCATTTAAACCAAATAACAATGTGAGTAATTATCGAATTGTTCACTTGTTCTGAATTAATAACAAATCACCATAACATTGTGAAAAAAAGACCAGCCACCTGCCCTCAAGTTCGCTTACCTTTGATTTGATGTGAAAGTGCGCGGCAAAAAGCCATAATTCTTAAGCTCTCTGTAATTAAGCACTTCATTCTCAAAATCGGCGAATTCTCCGAAAGGTAATCACTTGCAGTTCTTTGTTTAATACGTCTGTAATTATGCCATCATTTTTAAGTAATTATCCTCAACAGAATTTCTAAGCTTCGCACAGTGATCTACACCCGAATTTGATTATAAATGAAAATTGAAAATTCGAATTTTTTATTTAATTTTTTTATATATATTATTTTAATTTGATTTAACTTTTTTTAATCTTATTTTATTTTATTTATTTTAGCTATATTTAATTTAATTTTTTTCAAGTTAATTTAATATATTTTATTACTTTTTTTAAATTTAATTTTTTTTTATTTTTATTTTATTTTATTTTGTTTTATCTTTTTTTTTTGTTTAATATAATTTAATGTAATTTAATTTAATTTATTTTAGTTTATTTTATTTTATTTTATTTACTTTTTTTAATTTCATTTTATTTTCTATTGTATTATTTTACTTTTCATTATTTTTAATTTTTCATTATTTTTAATTAATTTTATTTTTTAATTGATAATGCTTCTATTAAAAGGCTTTAAAAATACCTTATTTCATTTTTCCACCGTGCGCGCCATTCTATCTTCTTGTTTCTTTGGCAGAGGATGTGGTTTTCTGTTAAGTAAAATAATTAAAAGCAACAGCAGCAGCGCCGAGAAGGCAGGATGACGCATTGTCAATGGAAAACAAAGAGTAAATATGCGTACTGAACTGTCATGGTGACCTATCGCCTCAAAAAGGAAAAAAATTAAGAGAGAAAATTACAGCGGACTGCAGATTTGAATTGACTACAAATGACCATACATATACATATATGTTACAGTATATACCATGTATACTTCATAGGTATATACGACTACTTTGTTGAGATATCCCTCATTAAATATTTGATTTTAGGAACTTAATTAAAAATTTATGAACTAATAAATGATTAAAACTCTTTAAGAAAAACATTTTGGATAAAAAACAAATATAAAATTTAAATTTCCCTTCCAATATTACTCGTTTTAGATTATTTTTGCTTTTCTAATATTGGTTTGACTTCTGTGTGCTCTTTGTTGACGCAATTAATAGAACAAGCGTATTTGTGCAACCCTTTTCAATCTCTTTAGCTCGGCTAAAGCAGCCCATCATAGCGCTGCCTACGAAGGATTTCCTATTACAATGGAGAAGAGTACGAAAACTGTCGGGTTGCCAGACAATTGGGCATCAACGGTTTTAAAGTTTAAAATGGGCATGAACTTTGAAATGAACTTTCAATCCCAAGTGGACATTGCGTGGAAAAAGAAGCCAAAACAAATTGAATAAGGTCGATTAAAAATAAATCTATTAATTTTACATTCAATTGAAGGCTTTATTTATCATACTTATAATGTTTTTTTCGTTAACTTGTTGCGATTTCATAATGCTACTCTCATAGACACCCACGTCCCTATTTGCAAACTGGGAGAGGGTATTTTTTCAATATTCGCTTGAGGCAAAAACGTAAACATGTAGTAATCAATTTTGGACTATAAGGCGGTTGCATAAGAGACTCCCAAATAAGCTGCTCCAGCTTTCATCTCTTCACTTTCGATATGTGTTTATTGGCGTTGACCTGATGGAATACACTTACATACATGTATATGCATATATGCATTAGAGGTGATCACGATGGATTTAAAAAAGTGAAAATGTTAATTGATGATATTTTTGAAATTAAGCTATAATTTGCAAAATTATTGCCTCCGAAAGATGAATAGGAAGTAGTTATAACTATTAGAGTTATTATTGAATTTTTAATTTCGAATTTTCAAGTAAAAGCTTGAATGAATAATCAAATGCCTTTATTATGTACTATACCATACTATATACCCTTGTAATTCCTTATTTAATTCATAATAAATGAATTTAAAGTTATGGCTTTATTGTTAACGTGAAAGAGAAGTAAAAGATTTTTGGGGTTATATTGTTCAACCACTACACATACAATACACTAACACGAATGACAATAATAGTATAGACATACCAACTGAAGCTTTTGAATGAAATTATAAATATCCATGCACATATACTCACAGGTTTTCGTGCATAGAGATAGCTCACTGCAGTAAGAAATTTGAATCCTTTAAAGTGTAGAAAATTTTAAATTTACTTTAAATTACTATCTTGTTTAAAATAATTTGTAAAATGATACAAATGAAAAGTATACACACAACCTATATTTATATTTACTCGTATGGTGTCATGGTTTTAATGCTGTATTTGTATTTTACCTGGGCAAATGAAATGCACATTCCCACATACTTACATACATACATACATGGGCATAAATATATAAAAAAAAATACCCAAAGCCTTGGCATATAGATACTTACATAGCAACTTAACCTTTTTCCTTCAGTCCAACACACAATAGAAGCATTCTAATAGATACATAAGTATGTAAGTATAAACTCATTCATGCACATATGTACAGTTAGATACACACCAATTGCTAACATGGGCAACCACTTTTACGTAAGCAATGGTAAAAGACTGGTGTGCCTCATTCGTTCAATGACAATTACGAGGACTTTTACGTTGCCATAAACATTCTCAAAAGGAAATTAAATTATAATACAATGAAAATGCGATAATAAAAACCAGAGCAGTTGAATTCTTGTTAGTCAGTAGATGGAATGCAGTGTACTACGTCACAAAGAAAGGTTGCCAAACTTGGAAGTGTGAGGAGATTTGTAGAGATATGTGATCAATAACTTGAAACAGGAGTTTTACAGTTAACGATTTACTTGATTTCAAATTCCCACAGGACTTGGAAAAATACGAATAAAGTTAAGTTGTCCTGATTATAAACGCAGCATGGCGAATCGAACAAGAACTGGTATAAATAACATAGATTGACATAATTAAGTGTTCAAAGGGCACAATAGACCATAGGTCGCGGTGCATACCTCAAAATTAATCTATTCTAAATATTGAAAGAAAAGCAAGTGTTTTAATATTTAAATGATTTATGCGCACACTATTTTCAAATATAATATCTGTTACTAAAGGGTTGCAAAAGCAGCAAGCAGAAAAATGCCGAATCGATAATGGCTGTAATGATAGTTTTTAAAGCATTAGCGTTTTAGTAAGTTGGGTTTCATGCTAAGCGTCAAACCCTGCATCGGAATGTTGCAATATAGGTATATATTTATTACCAACAAGTTTTAGTGAATTTCGCAGTGGTCAGTGGAATTATATAGTAAAATCAGAATTCTTTAGATGAGCATTCTTGTCGGTCCATTTGGAAACTTGCTTCGGTTACAAGTTTTTTTGGAAATTTGTGAATTATGGGTTAGCATGTCAAAGTTCCATAAGATCCTTGGTAAGCCTTGACATACTCATTAATTGGCACAACATCAAAAAATATTTATAATTTCTTGTATTTCTTTTTTAGTTTGAAAACCTATGTTAGAGTTATGTCCCCATAATGAACAAAGCATTTTCAAATATTTTTAGTTGAGTGTAATATTTGTGCTAATTAAATTTTTCTTGGAAACGAAAGCATACAAAACCTAATTGCTCACTTAACCTTTCACACCTACCGTAAAACCCGTTAGATTGTTGTCAATGGCAAAATGTTTTTTTTTTGCAATCCTTTACAATGCATTCTTATATAATTTTATGTTATTTATGAAAGTATGAAAATAGTAATATAATAGTAAAGCAATGCTAACAAGCTCCAACAAAAAGGACACAATAACACACAATTTAATACATACATATGTGCACTCGTGAACCCAAGACA